CGGGGGAAGGGTCGGGACTTCCAGGGACGCCGTCCCGGAAAAATCAGAACGTCGCATGTCTGGGTCCATGGCCCGAGGGGATCTGGGCCCTTCGCCCCCCCCCAAAACTGCAGTCGGCTTGGAGTGGACAGGACGCGCGAGAGGACAAAAGACCCTTCCGAGGGCCACATCGCCATGGAAGTGCAAGAAGGCACGTGTCGCGAGGCACAGGACACAAGGGTAGCCTTGAGCTGGCAGGGTCGACCTACTGATCCGGGCCGAATGTACCCTGAGACCCGACGCAGCGAGCACAAATGCAGCATCGCAAACCAAACACAAAAACAAAAACGCCCCGAGCCCTAGAACCCCCTCTTTTTCCTGCGTCATCTCTCGAGCCGGATCGATCTGTGAGGGTCCCGGGGCCCGAAGCGAGGCGAAGACGCCCAGCTCGCATCCATGGGGCCGCCAGGATCTCAGGCCATACGCAACACCCGAGCGAGAGATGCTGGCCTGGGCCGCCGGGCAAAGCACCCCGAGACGGCCAGCGCCCACCCTTTTTCACCATGCAGACAAGGCGCCCCGCGCCGAGAAGGGAGGAGGAGGAGGAGGAGGAGGAGGAAGAGGAGGAGGAGGAGGAGGAGGAGGAGGAGGAGGACGAGGACGAGGGAGGAGGAGGAGATGAGGAGGAGGTGGAGGAAAGCGGAGGAGGAGGGAGGAGGGAGGAGGAGGGAGGAGGAGGGAGGAGGGAGGAGGGGGAGGGAGGGAGGAGGAGGAGGAGGAGGAGGGAGGAGGAGGAGGAGGAGGAGGAGAGGAGGGAGGAGAAGGAGACGAGAAGGAGCGGAGGGCGGAGGAGGAGAAGGAGCGGCCGGCGCCCACACGCAGTGCCGCGCGGAGCCGTGCCGCGCGGCGCCTCCGGCGCCGCGCACGCCTCGGGGGAGGGGGCGCCATCCTGCGGCCGGCGCCCGCGGCGCGCCGCTGGCCGGCCGACGAGGCGTGCGCGCCGCCGGCGCCCTCGCGGAGGCGCCGCCGGCCGGCGGAGGCGCCGCGGCGCGCCGAGGGGGACGCGCGGCCCGCGCTGTGGCCGTGCGGCGGCGCTGCCGGGCTCCCGGGGGGCCTCGATCTCCAGACCCCCCAGACATCCTCGAGTCATGAAAAAATCACGACGGGAGGTTTTTCGCTATTTTCGGACTCTGAGGGCCCTTACCGGGCCTCGGGACCGTCAAACAACGACTCGAGATGAAAAACCGGTCCCGGGGAACGGGTCAAGACCTCTGGGGGTCGACGTCATGAACAAAATCATGACGTCGGGGGTCTGGGCCCCGCGGGTCCCTGAGATCCGGAGACCTCGGGGATGGACAGGACCCCCTGTGGCACAACGTGGTGGGGAGAAAACGGCCTCGGGCCCAAACCTGGCGGGCGCAAGCCTGGAAAACGACGGCCGCGGCGCCCCCTCGAGGACCGAAAGCGGACAACACGCTGACCAGCGAGCCCCCGACACCCTCGGGTCCCTAAGATCCTGGCGACCCAGTTCTGTCGAGCCGGACGTGCTCGCTCCACTTCGGGCCCCGGGGCCCTCCCAGATCGATCCGGCCCGAAAAATGGCGCCGAACCCTGAGATCGGGCGCTCCAAAAAAATTGGAGCGGGCGGTTTTTGGCAGTTTTCGGGCTACGGGGGCCCTCGCCGGGCCTCGGGAGCGTCACAAATCGACTCAGGACGACAAACCGGTCCCGGGGAAGTGGTCCGGACCTCCTGGGTCCACGCACAAAAAAAACTCTCGCGCCGATCGGATCTCTGGGATCCTGGAAGCATCGGGAGGGCCGCTGTCTGGCAGGGGTCGGCCTCGGGGGGGCGTGAAGAGAAACGGCTCGGGGTGGAAAGCTTGTCCTGGGGAAGGGGCCGAGACCTCTGGGGTCCATGCCCTCAGGAAGTCACGACGTCGGGGGTCTGGGCCCGGGGGCACCTCGATCGGCCCAGCGGTGCGGCTATGGTTAGGTCGGGCATGTCCCCCTACAAGCGGGCTTTGGACAAACATTGTTTTAAATAAGAAATCGCAAAATATCCCCCAGTAGTCAAAAAGTGCGAGCATACATCCATGCATCCCCAGGACGACGCGCGGATCCAACTGTGGCTTTGGCATTTGTTTCGGTGGATTCCGTCCGCGCGGATTCGATTTAGGATTTGCTGGGTCCGTGTGGTATTTTTTTACAGCGGATCCGACGTTTACCCCGTTTAAAATTTATATGCATACAACGGGGAACTGGAAGAAATCGGATCCGCAGACCCCAGAACCCGCCCGTGTTTAGATTATACGGGGGAAGGGGTTCGGACATTAACTTCCAACTCATCATAGTCATTTGCAAGTCAAGAGGGAAATATGTCGTCCTGCGTGAGTAACAGGCCAAATATACATATGGAAGTACACATATGTCTCTATATACACATCTACAATGTTGTATTATATGTAAGCAAAAGCAAACAAACGACCCCTGACATTTCTCAACTATGGTTGAATAATCCTCCTGTAAAGGGACACGCGCGACTTACGGCTATGATCGCACGCAACAACTGCCGTCCCTGAGGTCTGGGCGTCGCGTGCTTTCTCACGCCGGGCTTTGTCGCCTGGGCTCGGGCCCCAGGGGACCATCACTGATCGATCCGGCTCGGAAAATGCCGCAGACAGACGGGATCTGGGCCTCCAGACATCCGCCAATCGGATCTTTCCAACCCGCGGCACCAGGGGTCCCGACCCAGGGAGCGGTTTTTGACCCCTCGGGCCCCGGATTCACAAACATCATATGCCCTCCGATCTCTGGGCCTCCTGCCGCGCTTCCTCGCGAGGCTGCACTTCTTCGAGACGTCGGATCTCAGGGATGAGCCGCCCGGGCCAGGAGTGACCTCTGGTGCGCGGCCCCCGGTCCGAGCGGGGGGGGGGGGGCCAGACCGGAGTGCGCGAGGCGCTGCTGTCGCACCGGCTCGGGCTATGTTGCTCCCACCGCCCCTCGGGACCAAATCCCAGAAGTCAGTTCGAGCGCCCCGAAGAGTACGTATCGAAACAGTGTCGAACGAGTATCGCCTCCCAGAGCCCGACACATGAAAGCCCCCCAGTTCGGGTATTTTCTTGGAGCTCGAAACTGTGTCTGGCGTTTCAGGCGAAAGCAGTTTGGAAATCCATAAGCATAAGGCTCGGGGGGCGTTAGGCTCGAGTTCGAGGGGACTCGGGTTGGCCTGACGGGGCCGTCAGGAACATGACGACGCCCAGCCCGAGATTTGGCGCGAGCTCCCGCTGCAGACCTCCCACGGAAAAGCTGGATCGACAAACCTCAGGACGGGCCTGGCAGGAGGCACCAGCAGCCCGGAGTTGCGGCGAGCTCAAGTCTGACGCTACCCCGATCGGCATGCGGAGGTCGGGGGGGGCCGCGGTGGGCCGCCACCGAAATTCACTTCTTGGCGAGGGGCCACCCCTTGCGTGCGACCGACGGCGCCCGAGCCTCGCCCGCCACGAAGGGCTTGGCACCCCGCCCCCTCCCGGCGGGCAGCCAAGGGGCGGGGCGGCGCACCTGGAAGAAGAAAGGACGGCACGAACCAGGGTGGAACCTGAACGATGCTGCTCGCTTTCGCTCGGTTTGCTCGCTCTTCCTCGTCTTGCCCTCGCTTTCGGCGGTGGACAAGCCTCCCTTCAATGGACCTCCCCTTAGTGAAAACGGCCTGGGACCGAGACCGACGGACCTGGACCCGCAAAAATGACGGCCGCGACGCCCTCTCGCGAACCGAAAACGGCCAATTCCTTAATCGACGTGTCAGGGTAGGAGGTCTGTCCACCCCCGACGCTTCGCCTGGAATGCAAAACGAAACGAAAAAGAAAACGGCCCACGAGAGGGCCCAAACACCGCTGCGACCCAGCCCTGGCACGAGCATGCGCCTCCCGAGGTCCGAAGGCGGACTTCTCGGGCCCGTGCCGCCGGGCGCCCCCCCCCTGCAGCCGCATACAGTCGGGGCGTTGACCTAAGGAACCCTAAATAAGGAACGAGGCCCCTGTTTCCCATAAGTTAACCTTCGATTCCCTGTCGAAAACATAGGGAAAGCCTGAGGCAAGCTGCGAAACACTTTTAAGGAACGCGGAGCCCCTTCCCAACGAAAAGGGTTCCTTCTTCGGGGCCCCGACTGTACAGCCGGACTTCACTGGACAGGACACGCGACCCCCCCCCCCGCACCAGGCGGGCGACGCGCGGAGCCCCCGGCGCCGACGCGAGCAGCCCGCCCGCCGCCCGTCCCGGCAGACTCGCAGACGCACACGGTGGACCCCCTGGGTCGGTGCTGCTCGGCCCCCCCTCGGCCGCCACGGCGGGCGGAGCGCGGAAGCCGGCGCCGACCCGAGAAGCCCGCCTGCCTCCGCAGGCGCACGCGGTGGAGGCTCGCTGCTGCGTACACGGTCGGGGCCTTGGCCCGAGGAGCCCCAGGTGAGGACCGGGGCCCCTCCTCCTCCTGAAGTTCCGCTTCGATGTCCCGTCGATGGCCTGAGGAACGCCCGAGGCGAGCCGTGCAGCGGCTGGGGAACCGTTGAGCCCCTCCCGGACGAGAAGGCCTCCCTCTCCGGCGCCCCGACCGTCAGGCACATCGGGCACGCTCTTCGTCGGCGGCCGAGGGCCCCGTGTGCGCCAGGGCCTCCGTGGGTTCCCCCGGGGTCCTCGAGGAGTAGGGCACTTCCGTGGGGCACCTGCTCGCAAGCCGATGTCTTCTGTTGGTGTCCTGGCTGTATGCTTACGTCTACGTCGGGCATGTCCCTGGACAGCAGGAACATCCAAAAACAGTCAAAAAGTATGCAGACATGTTCTGTTATGTTTGAATGCTTACGGAACTTCTTTGACTTGTTTTGCGAACTGTTCCTCAAAAATCTGCCTGTGGGGGGAAATGCCCGACCCAAGTTTACGCGTTTCTTCTTCCGCGGGCAGCGGTCTGGCAAGGGCCAGCCCAAAGGGGCCGCGGCCTTCCGGTGTCGAGCATCGTTCACCCCCTGCCGCTCTCACATGCCTCCCTCGCGCTGGCGGGGCGCGTTCTTGATGATGTCGTCGACGCGGATGATCATCTCGGCGGCCTCCGCCGCGGAGCAGAGCTGAGAGATCTTGCTCCTGAAGGACTCCATGATGCCCAGCGGCGCCATGTCCGCGACTCTGCCGGTGGTGAACTCCAGGCCGTACGAGCCCTGCCCCCTGGCGTGCGCCGCACGCAGCTGGCCGACCAGCTCGGCGGAGTCGTACCCGCTGTTGTCCGCCAGGATCGTCGGTATCTGCTGCAGGGCCTTCCCAAAGGCCTCCATCGCCATCTGCTCCTTGCCCTCCACCTGGCCCATCTTCTCCATGATCGCCTTCGACATCGCCATCTCGCAGCACCCTCCGCCGTAGACAACGCGCGTCTCCTGCACGGTCTGGTACAGCACGGCCAGCGCGTCGTGCAGGGAGCGCTCGGCCTCGTCCAGGATGTGCGTGGAGGCGCCGCGCAGAATGATGGTGCAGGCCTCGCCCTGCGAGCAGCCCGAGAACTTGATGACCTTGTCCTCGCCAATCAGCATCTCGGAGATCTGACTGCACTGGCCGAGCTTGACCTGCTCTGGGTTGTCGAACGTGGACACGATGTCGGCGCCAAGCACCGCCGCCAGGCGCTCGCTGCCCTCAAAGTCCGAGTGCTCGATGGCCATGACCCCGTTGTCCTTGAAGAGCTGGTCGGGGTAATTGTAGACGAGCTGGCGGTTGATGAACACGTTGCAGCCGTGCTTGCATATCTTCTCCACCTTGGTCTTCATCTTGTCTTTCTCGGCCTTTTCAATCTCCGCGACGGCCTCGAAAGAATCAGTCTTGACGCGGGCACCGTAGATCTTGATTTTGTCCGTGTCCATCTGGCAGTTTGCCACCAAGATCTTACAGTCGTTGAGCAGCTTGGGATGTCCTACCGAGATCTTCTTCTCGAGAATGAACCCCTCCTCCAAGAAAGAATCCTTTAGAGACGCTCCTGGCTTCTTGATGACCTGGATATAGTCCAAATTAGGCTTACCCTTCAGCCGCAGCACCGCGTCCACCGCCAGCGTAGCAAAGTGGTCCTTCTCGTGTTTCAGCAGCTTTGAGCTCAGAGTCGTCCGCGCAATCTTCAGCAGGTCCTCCCGGAACGCGACCGGGTCGGACCCGTTATCCTGCGCCATGGCCTCGAGCGTCTCCCGCGCTGTGGCCAGCGCCAGGCGGTAGCCCTTGATGATGACCTGCGGGTGCATCTTCTGCTCCACAAGCACCTGGGCGACGAAGCCGAAGGGGCCCCACGCACGATGACATGGCGACCTTATACGCGCTAGCTCACGCAAGGCCGCCACCGCGGCACGCCACGAGGAAACGAGGGCGCTGACGCGCGGCCTTGAGCGGGCAGCTTGAAGCGGGAAAGTCAGCGCAGCCAGCACCGTTCTATTTTGTCACTCGCCTGGGCGTTCCGGAGCATCTCCGCCGCCAGGACGACGACGGAGGTGGTGCCGTCCCCGCACTCTGCATCCTGGGTCTTCGAAATGTCCACCAGGATCTTCGCAGCGGGGTTGTCGATCCAGATGGACTTCAGAATGGTCGCGCCGTCGTTTGTCACGGTCGCTTGGCCCTGGGCGCCTTGTCCGGGCATGGGCTGCAAAATCTTGTCCATGCCCTTGGGGCCCAGCGTGGACTTCACGAGGTCGCCGATGGCTATCGCTCCGATGAACGCCTGGAGCCTCGCGTTTTCGCCCCTCTCCTCGCTGGCATTCTCCTTCAAGATGCTGGGGCCGCCCGCCAGGACACGGTGCATGGCTCAACGCTGCTCGGTGCACGCCGCGCCTGCAGGCACCCAACACAAAAAAAGAGACGCTGCTCGAGGTCGGACGGCTGGAACCACAGTGGCTACCGACGCGTCGACCTCGAGACCCTGGAGGGGCCCTGGGATCCTCGCGCAGTGGCGGAACCTAAAACGGGAAGGGTAGGGCGATGTCCACCCCCTGGGGGGGGCCCTTACCATGCCCCGGGGCCGCCAAAGAACAACTCAGGGTGCAAAGCCGATCCCCGTGGGTAGCCACGCTGGGAAGAAATCAAACGGATGTCTGGGATGGGGGGCGCTCGCTCCCCGCGACGCGTTCCAAACGGAGCAGGGCTGCGAGGCCACCTCTCACGTGAAGGACGACGAGCACCGCGCCGCGGCTGACCTCCAGCCGACGAAGGCGGCCTTCGTTGCCCCGTTGGCCTCGATCAACAGCAGGTAGTGATGCTCAACTAGACAAAGACAACAATACTGTCGGTGCTTCGCGCGGATTTCTTGGATCGGCGCTGGACTCCCTAGCGACGCACCCATGTGCTCGCTGATCCTCCTCCTCCTTCTCCTCCTCATTCTCCTTCTCCTTCTCCTCCTCCTCCTCCTCCTCCTCCTCCTCCTCCTCCTCGCCCCCTCCTCCTCCTCCTCCTCCTCCTCCTCCTCCTCCTCCTCCTCCTCCTCATTCTACGTATCACCTCCGGCAGAGGCCACTACAAAGCGGCTTATGATGGCCGAGAAAGGGCCGAGACGTCTGCGCAAATGGTTCCCCCCCCCCTGCCGCCGTCTCTCTCCTTCCTCCTCTCCCCCCTTTAAGAGACACCCTCCTCCTCCTCCTCCTCCTCCTCCTCCGCCCCTCCTTCTACCCACTCCTCTCAACGGTCAGCAGTGGCAGGAGAAGCTGCACCCGTGCGCCCACCGTGGCGTTACACAGACTGTCCTCGGCGTCGCTGTGCCGTCGCCGACGCCCAGGAAGAGGAGGAGGAGGAGGAGGAGGAGGAGGAGGAGAAAAGGAGGACGAGAAGAGGAGGAGGAGGAGGAGGAGGAGGAGGAGCGCGCTCGCCAAGAGGGGTGCGGACGGAGGATAAGGTCGGATGACACGCCAACTGCGCCCTTCAACGGGAACGTGTTGCAGAGCGACGGGGCGTGCCTAGAAAATCACAGGCAAGATTCATACAGTACCATGGCCGACTACAGCATGTAATTGCAGTCTGGTGCGGACGAGTTGCTGAATCTTCGGGGCAACTCCACTATGCCGACGCTCGTGACCTGAATTGTGATACGCATTAAGAAAACAGATCAACGTATAACACGATCGACTAGATGGCCTCCACAGGGCGCGCGTAGCGCCATACACACATTTCTCTGGGCCGGCAGCCAGTAGGAACGAGGAGGAAAGCAGAGAGCAAGTGACAGCTGCGGAAAGCTGAGGCACTCCAGAATGTGTCCCCACCAATCGCTCCGCATGCAACATATGGCAACGTGGCGTCTCGGAACCTGGCCGTGGTACAGTGGAGGCTCGCCCACAAGAAACCTTCCACAAGAAACGTAACCCTGAGACCCTGGGGCGTTCGTTGACTGTTGCTGTGGGAACGCCACGTTCTCCATAGCAAAGCCATCGAAACCCAAGAAACCCAAGGCACCCTGGCAAGGTGTTTCATGGCATGGGCCCCCACTGCACACCATCCGCTCTACCACGCCCGGAGCGGAGGCGGGCGGCCGCACGGAGGGACCCCCGCGGAGGCGAGGCGAGGGAACACAGGTGCCGCCCTGGCAGCAGGCTCGATGCCGAGACTCGGCCTGCTCTGAAGCTGACTGTTGTCATCCGGGATTCCAGGTATGGCGCTCAGCATGGCACGGTTTTCCCACAGCGCCCTGAACGCCGCGGTACAGCACCAGCGAAGTGAGGCGCCAGGCTGTCGCGCTATCGCCGTCACCGTCGAATGGCGAGAGCAGGCTCACGCCCCGATGGACGGCGCGGCTCCGCATCGCAGCCCCGTGCACTGCAGCGCGTGGGACGGTGGCCTGGACAGGGAAACTGCTCAGCCTGAGATCATGATCCCCAACGAAGACGACGACGGCCTCAGAGAAATTGAGGAAAGGCCCACAAGCCTTCCCGGCGATCATCCACGCTGGCAGCGACACGGCTGGAGCTTGAGCAATGCTTGCGCTGGAGTTTCCGACGTCGACTGCAGATGCCCCCAGTGCGTTGATCTCGGGGGGGGAATCCCAAAAAAGCATGCGCCGTATGGTATCGAACACCACCACGAATGGGCGACCAGAAGCCAGACAACCCTGTCGAACACCTCGTCAGCACCAGCAGCCACACCCCTGACATCCGCGGAATCGAGCTTCCGCCCACGCGTTGTCGCACAAAGCTTCGATAGCTAAGATAAGCCACTCGGTAACGCCCATAACCCGAAGTATCAAAAACGGCACGGCGTGAAGGACAGACGGGAAGGTTGCTTTCACATCGTACGTTACCATGCCTGTGTTGCACATGGCACGCTGCGCGATCCAATGCAAAATTTGGCATTCAAAATCAATGATGTGTTCGGCCAGTCGCCTGTTCTTGATGAACCCCCGATGCTCACTCCCGTAGTTTGGCATCCGTGTTGGGGTGGTTTGTTCAGGGTCGGGTGCACTCTGGAAGGCGCGCGTTCAGACTCTCGTCTGGGCTGGTTTGAGCAGGGACCGACCGTCCCGGCATTCCTATAGTCTACCACGAAATGTTCTTAGGACCCAAAAATGTTCGAAAAACAAAAACAATGCCCTTAGAACATGAACCCGATGTGCTGAATCAAGACAATATCAACAATAAATGTTCTAAGACATTTCGTGGAAACCACAAAAGGTTCTCAGAACATTGTTTGGTAGGGCTATAGGCGAGCCAGGACGCTTCGCCACTGCTTGACTGGCTTCGCCTTTCGCCAAGAAGACGGCATGGGACCAATTGAAGCCAGGTGCACGCGTGCCACTGTGTCGATATGCATCATAGGATACTGCTGCGCCCTCAGGCCCGCACCGTGCCCACGCCGAGAAAGGGACGCCATCCGGACCGAGCGCAGAGTCCCGCGTAGTGCCGAGCACTTCCGCAAGCTCCTCCTTCTCCTCCTCCTCCTCCTCCTCCTCCTCCTCCTCCTCCTCCTCCTCCGCCTCGCCCCCTCCTCCCCCTCCTCCTCCTCCTCCTCCTCCTCCTCCTCCGCCTCCTCCTCCTCCTCCTCCTCCTCCTCCTCCTCCTCCTCCTCCTCCGCGTCCCAAAAGAGGTCCCGACGGCACTCCTGCACACAAGGCCGCAAAAAGCCCCCCAGAGCCTCCAGGCCAAGGTCGGTGCGGGAGAGCGAAGGTTGCCCGAATGACCCGGCACGCTCCTGCCCAGCCGCGCCTGGGTCCAGGATGCTATGCCCGAGAAGGTCAGTAATCGAATGTAGCCTTGAAGATGCCATGACGATAGACACTCTAACGGCCTGATCCGTGGATTCAAACTGTGCATCGGATGTTGTTTTTAAACCTCATGAAACATGTCTCAAACCTATGTTTTGAAGGCTTTTTAACCACGTTTTAGACAGCTGGAAACTATTTGACAGCATGCGTCCTTTCCATTGATCGTCTTCCAAAGATGTAGCCTCACTCGCCGCGCCGTGGGTGACCACGCGCTCCAGGGCCGATACAGCCGGCTCTCTCGTTGAACTCTCTGGGTGGGCGCTAGAGTACTGTCGTGTCGGGCGTCGTGCAGTTGCTGGTCGATCTGCTCACGGTGGAGCTGGTTCAAGAACAAGTAAACATCTCTTTGCCGCTCCCTCGTGCACGCGCCAACGTCGAAATACTGTCCAAGATGCTGATCAGCACTGATAGCGCGCCGCAGAAGTGCCGGCGAAGATGACGAACACGCCCGCAAGGCGACTATAGCCCACAAAAGCCGCTCGATGAGAGGTGCTGCCCCCGGCTTCCTTCCGACGTGTAACCTCCCTGGGTGCAGCGTGCAAGAAGACCAGGACCTCTGCCGAGGCTGCAAAGATGCGCTGCGGGGTAAGCAGCTCGCGCCATCCAGGAGCTCCCGACACACAACAACGGAAAAAGGCCTGTCTTCAGTAACCCACTGCGGTATCGACGGGCTTGGCGGCCTCCGTTCAAATGGCGGTGTCACGTGAACATGCATATGATCAGATATCTCTTGCAAGTCACCAGGGTTCCCACGAGTGTCGAGCGTTGCAACCGAGTGCATCAAAACCCCGCACGGCCGCGAGGTGTATATGCGGTCGATCCGTGCCACTGTGTCGATGCATGTTGCTCCGTTCTCCTGGGCGGTGGTCCTATTGAGTACGTTTCGCCTGCTCAATCTCGGCCACGTCAGGGAACAAAAAGTGGGACAGACGGGCAGACGACTTCCGCGAGTACCGGACCCCGCCCTGGACCTGAAGACGTCCTTCTGAGAGCTCCGAAGAAACAGAAGTCACCAGCAACGAACAACGTGGCACACTTACCTGGCACAGAAAAAAACGAATGCGGCGAATATCTACTTTCCGTTGCGTGTTGGGCCAATTCGGATCGATGTGTATATCTATGATCTGCAGTGCATGGGTATCGCTTGACAGCGTGAGCGTGCGAATTCGGCATTCACGAACACATTGTCGTGATACGTGCGGGAGATGTGCACGAAGAGTAGAGTGGACGAGCATTGCGCAGTCTCCTTTCTTCGTCCATAAATCTACCCCCCCCCCGAGCTTCCAATCACACGGCGCAGCATATTCTGAAGCGCTTCACCAGACTCCCTAACTTCCTGATGTGTGTCGTAGTTCGTCATAGATCGATCTAGGCGTGCTAACTTACTTCGAGGATTAGAGGACGCGGACGTCTGCGCCCCTAACAGGGAGCGAATGTTCCAAGTCAGAATGCGCAGACGTGGAAGACGTGGCATAAGAGTACGAGGCTGATGCAACTCCAAAGAGCCAAGCGCAGGCTCAGAAGACAAAGGGGAAAGCGAAGATGAAGAAGATGTGGTAGAGCCTGATCGGGAAGTGCAGGCAGACGAACCAGAAGACGACGATGATGTAGCAACAAGCCTGCAAGGAAGCTGCGCTAGCGATGCATGTTCTTCATCTAGCTTTGACCCCACATCAGTTGAGCCTGATCCGCGGCCCCCGCCGCGTAGACCTGGGGCAACAACTCCGCTCAGGCCGGCCGGAGCAGCGAAACTTCTGCGCCAAGCTGTGAAGTCACACTCTTCATCATCATCATCAGGCTGTCCCAAGAGAGGTGGAGAAGAAGAAGAAGAAGGAAAAGACGCGCCGTGTGCAGTTTTCCCGCCCGAATGGAGCTGCGGCCTTCCTAGTCACAGGTCATGGATTCCAGTGCTGTGCCGGACAGGCTTAATGTGCGCAAGGACTCAGGCTCGGGAGTGACCTCCAGCTGGTCTTGGACCGTGTTCATCACGCGAAGAACTTGATCATCTTCTCGCCAACTGTGAGGTACAGGGTCGCCTTGTAGGGGTACGAACCGAGCAACATCGCCGCCTGCCATTTCTTGTTCTGCTCCATCCACGTCTTGACCCGTGTCCATACCGTGCCGAGAACCTTGTTGCAAAGCTGGACGCTCCGCGGGACGTTACCACGTAGGCGCAAGACGATGGAGCGGATCTCCACCCTATCGAAATACGAGATCCCCACTTCCCTGACGTGCTGGACGAACCTCTTGGCCGCCTCCGGATCACCGAAGACCATGTTGACGCCGCCGCTTCAGGTGGTCCTCGCCCACCTCCGTCATCACGCGAGCCAGCATAGGCCTGGGAAATCCTGAGATCCACACTTTCTTCCGGTCAGCCAGGCGCTAACCCGCATGCGAGCTCCCAGAGTTTGGAGGCCGACTGGCCCAGGCCGAAGTCGCCCCAGAAGTCCTCCTCGGACTCCTTGTCCAGGACGACTTGGATGGACTCCACCTTGCAAGAGAGGGCCACGGGAGCCGCGGATTCGGAAGCGCAAGCAACGCTATCCTGGTTCTTCTTCTGAAAGTCGTTCATCCGGTCGGTCGGTTCCTGATCGCGTCTGTGTGCGGCGCCACGGTGTCAATGATAGGCTTGAGTTCATCCACCGCATTGGAGACATAGGAGGAGGAGGAGGAGGAGGAGGAGGAGGAGGAGGAGGAGGACGAGGAGGAAGACGGAGAGGAGGAGGAGGAGGAGGAGGAGAAGGAGGAGGAGGAGTAAGAGGCCGGGTCGCGAGGTGCGCGCCGGCCTCGCGACGGTAGAGGTAAGAGAAGCCGTAGCCGTACACCCAGCCTGGCGTCGCGCAGCTGTTGGTCGCCCTCGTCGGCGTCGTCGTCGCCGCCACTGGCATTCTCATCGTCGTCGTCGTCGTCGCTGCCGTCGTCGTCGTTGTCGTCGTCGTCGTCGTCGTCGCCGTCGCCGTCGCCGTCGCCGTCGCCGTCGCCGTCGCCGTCGCCGTCGCCGTCGCCGTCGTCGTCGTAATCGTCGTCGTCGCCGTCGTCGTCGTTGTCGTCGTCGTCGGCGTAGTCGTCGTCGTCGTCCTCGTCGTTGTCCTTCTGAGGTTCACCTCGACCCTCACTGATCGAGAGGAGATGTTTGGAGGAATTTGGCAGGTCGCTCAGCGTCTTTTCACCAAGGCCCCCAGAAGCCTCCGGAGAATCAGGGCCCAGAGCAACTAGAACTTACCAATCGTCGCCGACCTCCTCCTCTTTCGCTTCCTACTCCTCCTCCTCCTCCTCCTCCTTCTCCTCCTTCACCTCCGCCCCCTGGCGCACCCGGCTTCCGGCACCACCAAAGTCCAAGCAATTGTGGTGCCGGATGAAGAGCCGGAGCTTCGGGCAGCTGGCACCTGGCACCAGCAAGTCGGGCATCATTTGCTCATTACTGCCTGCCTGGGAGGTGATGCCTTGCCGCGGTCACGGAGAGACCCGTCGTCTCTCTCTCTCTCTCTCGTGGCAGCAACGTTCCGACCACCCCCTCGTCTGGTATGACCTGCGAGTCTCTTCCCCTCGGGCCTGTCCAGCCTATGCGCACCTTTTCTTTGCAGGACAACGCGGACTGAGTCCGCCACTTCCTCTTCCCGCCTCCTCCGCCTCGAGCGTCCTGGACCAACGGGGGGCACGGCGCTGGCCGTGTATCGCAAGCGGCCGCCCGCGTCTCGTCGTGGAAGATCAGCGTGCCTGGCCGTGTTCCAGAGGCCGCGGGGAGCCCCTTTCGTGCTCTGCATGGCCAGCAATTGCCGGCGTCTGCCTCCGGTTCTTGCCGGTGCAGATGGCAGGGTCGGCCATGCGACGACTCGTGAGGTCGGATCGAGTCGGAATGCGCGCCGGGTCGGGCTGCATCGACACGGAGTCGAAACCCGAATGAGCTGCGCCAGGACGCGGAAAACGCCATGTGAGCAACGATCCGCATCGAATCGCAAAAAATACCAAAGTCGAAACGGATCGAGCTGGCCAGGGCCGATATCGACTCGGATTGATTGGATCGAAATGCACCGTGGATAGTCGTCGCATGCTTGTAGGGGACCAGCGGAGCTCTTGATGAGCCTGTCTTCGCCGACGTCTTCGGATCGAATTATCTGTCCAAGTCGACGCAATGGCCCCTGCAGGCGCGGACGTCACCAGGAAGCTGACGCGGCTGCGATTCGACTATCACTGGCGAGATAAAAGTTCATCCACGCCAAGCTGGCAATCTTTCGGGTAGCCACTCAGGTCGCAGATTGACGGACACGCTATCAAACTTGATATATGTCAATGCGCCAGCAGGCGAAAACATATTCATTGCCGTCAGTATGACTGTCATCGACAAGTTTACGCGGAATCACTCCGTCCACGGTTCGCGGAAGAAATGAAATCAACAGGCAGGGGATTGCGGTAATTACGTTGCGTCAGGGCTGCATCTGCGGTAGGGAGTGTCGCTGCGTATCCCTTCATTCCACCAGCAGCACGTATTATGCTCTCGGATGCAGCATTGTCATAATCATACAGACAGACAGACAGCGAAGCCAGGCGCCCGGACGGCGCATCGGCAACAGAGCACGGCTGAAGTAACAGACAATGATCAAGGAGCCCCGTCGAGCACCACTCAAAACGTGCACGGTGTCATCGACGGCGGGCGACTATCATCAGCGGGTGGCAGCCCAGTGCTCACGCACCATCACGCATCAGCTTGACTGGCTCGGTTGTCCTTGCGCGTCTCCCTCCAGCGACCTTCGCGATGCTTCGCGGATCCCCCTCACGCTGTGGTGCAGATCCCTCGTGTGCACAGTGCCTCGCGCGGATGCCTCGCGCAGGCACGTCTCGTCACCTGCTTTGCCCTTGCCTTTCCCCCCCGCATCCTGCCACGAGCCACAGCGTGTCCAGTGGGACACGGATCCAGGACGCCCTGGGCCCTGCCATGATCCAGACCCTCACTCCAACGCGCCCTTGAACGGCCACGGGGCCCGCGACAGACGCCGGGAGGCCGAAGGTGATGGAAATCGCTGGGCCCCGCGGCTGCGCTTGCAAGCAGTGCGCGGTCAGGATCCCTTGCTTAGCGTCTCGGCGGCGGCCCCGGCGACCCGCTGTGCCCTGCAAACTGATGGCGTGTCGCTCCGCTCCGCGGGGCAGGAGGCTGGGAGAAGCTCGGGGCGTTGACGCCCGAGCACTGAAGCGTGGTCAGCACGTCGCGCCGCAGCGCGGTAAGCAGCGGTGGTCAGCGCGGTACGCCCGTGTCTCCTCACTGCGCGCGCGGAAAAATCACTCGCCGGCGCTGCCAACTCGCCTCCCGGCGCCGCCCCGCCCGCCTGCCCTGGCTGCGCCCGTCTGGCGCCCCCCGGCGTATACCCAGACATCCGGCTGCCCCAATTTGTTCGATGCGTGGGCCCCGGAAGTCCAGACCACTTTCATGGTTGAGCAGGGACCGACCGTCCCGGCATTCTTATAGGCCTACCACGACATACCCTCAGAACCCAAGAGTGTTCGAATTACGAAAATTATCCCGGCAAAGCAACCTAATAGCGATGTGTAGAAGCATATCTGAAAGCATTCCCCTTAAGATTCAGATGAACATCCAGTTGTAGAATTATGCTGTTCTCGCAGTCGTAGTCGCATTCGCGATGACAGTCGCAGCGGCAACGGCAGTCGCAGTCACAGCCTCAGCCTCAGCCTGCCTCAGCCTCAGCCTCAGCCTGCCTCAGCCTCAGCCTGCCTCAGCCTCAGCCTCAGCCTGCTTCAGCCTCAGCCTCAGTCTGCCTTCAGCCTCGGCCTCAGCCTCAGCCTGCCTCAGCCTCAGCCTGCATCAGCCTCAGCCTCAGCCTCAGCCTGCCTCAGCATCAGCCTGCCTCAGCCTCAGCCTCAGCCTGCCTCAGCCTCAGCCTCAGTCTGCTTCAGCCTCAGCCTCAGTCTGCCTTCAGCCTCGGCCTCAGCCTCAGCCTGCCTCAGCCTCAGCCTGCCTCGGCCGCAGCATCAGCCTGCCACAGCATTCAAAATGTGGCCCAGGAATAGAGTTCTGGGAACTAGAAGAACACGAAGTGGCCTACACTTGGCTCCGGGCGTTCAAAATCATGCCCAGGAATGGAGTTCTGGGAACTTGAAAAACACGAAGTGGCCTACAGTTGGCTCCGGGCATCCAAAATGTGGCCCGGGAATGGAGCTCTGGGAAATCGAAGAGCACGAAGTGGCCTACACTTGGCTCCGGGCATCCAAAATGTGGCCCGGGAGTGGAGTTCTGGGAAGTCGAAGAGCACGAAGTGGCCTACAGTTGGCTCCGGGCATCCAAAATGTGGCCCGGGAATGGAGTTCTGGGAGCACCAAGAGCGATTTTGCGAGGATGTCCGAAGCGATTTCGGCTTCGGCGGCAGCCTCCCGGGTCCCGCCCAAACCCCCCTGAGGAGTCATGATGCTCTCATTCGAGACCACTAGAAACCTATCAGCAAGAGCTGTTAGGTAACAAGGTTCTTAGAACATCAAACCGATGAGTGAAACAAAACAGCCACGGCCAGAAAGGTTCTAAGAACATGTCGTGCAAACCACAGAAGGTTCTTAGAACATGCTTTGATGGGCTTATAAACTATAGGCTTGCAGTTTCCATTGGGCACGGGCTAGACAGCTACCCCCGCTAAAATAAATAATTACTGTGTGGTAAGTATCGTAAATGGGTTTCATAGTGGATGTAATTGTTTGAAATTGAATAGTACCCAAATGTCAACGACAAACAAATACAACGCAGTGTTAGCATTCAATATGCTACATGCACAATATATTTGCTATGCACACATATATATATGTATATATATATATATATATATGTATATCGCATGCCTGTTAGATGTACTAAGTAGAATTCTGAATCCTATGTTACATACCATTTTAATCATACCAAGTATACACATGTTCTTTACACGTATCTGAGAATGGGTAAGCATATATATATATATATATATATATATATATATATACATACATACATATGTATATATATAGTGTGTATGTGTGCACGCTTGTACATATATGCACAAATTTGGATGCACTGTGAATGCGTAGCATGTAATACCTTATTATTTGGCATACCAGCATGTCCGTAACATGTTTTAGAGTTGAGACCTTGTTAATGAATATTGGACATACACAAACATAACATGCCCATGTCGTCGTCTTGTCTGCACATTGTAGTTGCTACTGTATTCCGTTGCCACACACAAGCACACTCGACCACTGGCACTGCACCGGCGAATCCTAAGAACACTGATGACGCCTCCACGACAGAAGGGTACGTCATCTGAGTTAAAGTTGTAGCAGCAAAGCCTAGCACCGCATAGCCCGCACACCACATATCACCATCGCAGGCGGGCGATCGGCGGGCGATCGGTATTCGATCGCAGTTGTCGCTGGGTCTGTCGATTTGAAACGCGGCTATATCTTGCGGGCCGCCCTACAACCCTGAGCAGCCCTTGGAAGCCCCAGGGGGGGACCTGTTGATTTCGGCGCAGTCCTCGCGCGGATCGTCGCCCCCAGGGCGGCGGCTGGCGCGCAGCCTCAGATGCATCTGCGAAGTCTCTGTCCTCCGCCCGCTTCCCGGGCAGCAATAACTTGTTATTGCAAGTCATAAGTCGACGCCCCCAGGCGGGAGTGCCCCGCCGTCGGCGCAACGCGCGATGGCGGGCGCCCGCATGTCCACCCGCCACGCGCCGCCGCTACGTCGGGCGGGCCAGGCCCCGCGCGGGCATGCTGGCGTGCCGCGCGGCCGTGCGTCGGGGTCCTTCCTCCCTCCGCTCCTCCGCGCACGGTCGCGATGTCTCCTCTTTGCCGCCTGGCCGCGGGGCGGGATATCAAGTGCCCGGTCATGTCTGCAGCGCCCCACCTGCCTAGTATGCACTCTTAAGGTGGGGCGGCTGGCCGGGGTGTGGCCCTCTGTCTGCCAGCGTGCGGCTCTGGACCAACCCTGGGGGCGACGCGCGGGGCGTCCGTTCGCCAGAGTGCGTCGGACGCGACCGCGGTCGCGCTTCTTTTCTGGCCCAGTGTGGCCCCTCGTGGGTGTCGTTGTCTAGGGCTTTTCCCTGCGGCTCCTGTGTCCCTTGGTTCACCTCGGGCCAGCACCGCTGGTCCTTGGTGACCTACGCGTTGTTTCTCCACCCTGGCGGAGTCTGTTTCACGGCCCTGAGGGGTCACGGCATTGCTATCAAGCCCAGAGTGGCCTCTTACGTCGGCCCAGTGTGACCAACGTACCCATAGGGTTCCCCCTCGCGGGTCCAGAGCGACCCTCGGCTGGCGGCCCAGAGTGGCCATTCAGTAGCAGGGCAGCCGATGCCAGCCCGCATGTCCGGCGGCCCTAGAGCGGCCAATCTTCGATAGGGCGGCCGTTGCGGCTTGCCTGACTGCCAGCAGACCCGCGCGTCTCGCTTGGAGGCCCATAGTGGCCAATCGTTGCAAACGTTTCTTTCGCATTCCCAGTGAACAGTCGAGCGCGAGACTCGCAGCGCGACAGACTCGCAGCGCAAAGGCAGCGAACTCCCGCCGTCGGTCGACGGTTTTTGCTCTGGCTGCCGCAGGTTCGCAGCGGCTCCGAATGTCGGGTGAAGTCAGCGGCTTCTGCTTGCTTGCGATGGCGGAGCAGGCTGCGCAGGCGGCGCTCGCGCCGTTCGAGGCGAAAACAGAAAGGGGCACCTTGGTGCGCACCGCATCCCGCGCGCGGGTCGCGTACGCAGACACAGTGTTGTCGCAGGCGCGCGAGCGGCTTCGATACCTGCTGGTTAAGGGGGCGGGCCCCAGGCTGCAGGGGCGAGCGCCAAGGGGCCCGCCCCTAGCAATGCCAGCACCACCTGCCAACGAGAGCTGCTGGTCGCCAGTCCGACTCGGAGAGGTCGGCCCTCGGTTAGTAAGGCTGGAGCAGGTGTGGGCTGAACTGCGCTTCGCCCTGGCCCATTGCGCACCGCGTTTGCCGCGCGACGTCTGCCATATCATAATGGGCTACGCTAAGCCCCAGATCGTCTCTGCGCCCGTGATGCGCTACCGCCTAATGGACAATCCAGACAGCGGCGATGAAGCGCACTTCCGCCGGGCAAAGCTGCGAGCGCGCCCGCCAGCGCGGGTCGCGGGCGCCTAGGGCGGCGCACGAGACCACAACGCTTTTAACAAACGCGCGCGCTCGTGCCGCGCGTGTCGTCCCAGTGTGGATTTGCGCGCTCCCTCCCGCAACTGGAGGCAGCATAATGGTCGCTGCGCGGGCTACTAAGTACGCCGTGTAGCGATGTCGTCTGACTACGAGGTGCCGTCAACGCAGCCGGCCTCATGTCGCGAGACGTGTCACATTGGCCCTTTTGCGTGTTCTCACTGTCGCGCGCGCGGGCGGCGGGAGCATCCAGCCCCCCAGCGCGATCGCAGCCGATCGTCGCCACGGAAGCGCACATCTGCCGCACGGACCTCAGGCAGCCCCTCGATGGAGCTGACGGCCACGGTGCCGCTTGGGCCGCGCGCACGAAGCGCGAGGATCGACCAGCTGGCCAGCGCCTGCCCGCTCGGTAAGACGCGTGACCCGCGCTCACGGCCATAAGCGGACCAGGTTTCCGCAGGCATCTCGCGTTGCGTTCCCGGCGCCGCCGTTCCTCCCCTGCGTTCGGGGTGCGCGCGTTCGTTTTGCGTCTGCGAAGCGGCGGACCAGGTATCTGCAGGCACCTCGCTCGTGTTGCTACTGGCGCCGCCGTCTTTCTGTACGCGTGTTGAGTGCGCTGCGTTGCAGTCGGCCCGCCGCGCGTTCCCCGCGCGTGCGAGCAGTGCGACGCTGGTGTTTTCTGGCTTCTTTGTTCGTGATGGCGGACGGACCGCTGCTGAGCTTTCTGCGCCAAGACCCCGTGTTCGGGGC